AGGGAGTAGTGACATCCAGCTTGAGATAAACATTCTGCTTGTGGCGATGTTGATGAATGAATATAGCGTTGCAATTGTTCCTTAATCCGTGATGTGAGTAGTGACATTCAGCTTGAGATGAATGTTCTGCTTGTGCCAAGTTTGATGAATAAATATATGCTTAGAAGTATTCTCGAATCCGCGACCTGTACAGTTTGATTTGTTGTCAGTATTCTCTTCAGTGGAAGTTGAGGTTTAGGAAGGAATCCGTGATGAAGTTTATTCTTTAATCTTTAGTATGAATTATTGAATGGGCTGTGCGTAGCATGCTTTTGTATAATTGAGATAAATGACAACATAAATTATGTGTAGCATTCTTCAAGCTCGTAATTTGTAATGCAATTGGTGAAGGTGCGAGGTTGGTGATGGGGAAGTAAGGTGGATGAATGTGTCGATGACGGGAAGCATTCTTGTTTTATGAAAATTGAGGAGAAATATGCAGTTGCACAATGCAAACCGGCGGATAACGAGTGTGTTGAATTACGCGTGGTAGGTATCATATGTGTGAGAAGTTGGTATATGATTTGAGATGAAGTAGTATGGTGTAGCCATACCGATGTGTCTGGGTTTTGAAGACTCTTTGAAAAATATCAACCGATAGGCTTAGGTTTAATTTTGGCTCTGAAAAGAGCAAGTGAACTTTCCATTGTTGTGCGATGATATTCTTGAAGTGAGATGTTTTCTTTTGTTATGATTAGAACTGTCTTTACTGTGATCTCTTTGTTGGACAATAGACTTTTGTGAAACTTCGATCATTTAATATCTAACTTCGTTCACATAGGATGTTCATAAGTTCTGAATATTGACGCAAATTAGTTTTTTGGGTAGATGGAGTATGATGTCTGACTGAATCTACCTTTATGCGATTTGATTCCGCATATAGACGTTTCAAATGGAAAAGTACTGTGACATCTTCTCTCTATAAGCAGTAGTAGAAATAAAAGCATATAATGCTCAGTTAATCAAAATAAGTTAACAAATACTTTATTTAAAGTGATGAGCTCATATGAAATAAAAAGTACAGTAGGAATCCATCAGTGGTTATCGTGAGCGTTTATTTGAGCCTGCTAGCAAGCCACTGGCGAGTGATGACTCGCACTTTATGTTCAATAAACAGTTGAGAGTGAACTGAAGTACAGGAGGCACCGGGCGTCCAGTAAAACAGTACAGACTAAAACCAGAAACTTCCGTTTTGTAAAGTGGTTATACGTTTCCTTCAATATCAGTTGCTAATTCTGGATAAAATTTGACTGATCATTGAAGTTATGACTTATAAATAAACCCCTATCGAAAATATATAGGAAACATAAAAAGAAGAACTACGAAGAATGTAGTTTTCTAGTTTTACACAGTTAAAAAGTAGATTGGACAAAGAATAGAAAAAAAATAGCTTGTGATAACGATGAAAAAATGATTGAAATTTCTAAATACTTGGCAAAGTAGTAATAAGTAATTAGTAGAAAACTTAGTCATGATATTTATCTGACATTTTTGCGTGTATATATATTTATTTGGAACAGCTGGTGACCTCTTCGGTCCTTACAGTACAGCAGTATAGAGAAATAAAATATGAAGATAAAGAATAGAGAACAAGGCAAGTTAATGAAAGACAACGCATTAATTCATGCTTCCGCAGGGAGTTTAACAAATGAAAATGTATCATTTAATAGATAGATCAGAAAAAAAGAAAAGAACAATAATAATAATAATAAAATATTATAATAATTATAATTATAATGAACGGCACAGAGAACTTTGTGCAGAAAAGTGCAAAAACTTTCCACTTAACTATTTTACTTTTTTAGATATCCAGAATCTTCCAATTATTAAAAAGATGCAATCAAAGAGAGAAGAAAATAATAAAACAAAAGGACGAGAGAGGGTGTAGGTGTGGGTATGGGTATGGGTATGGGTGTGGGTGCATGGGTGGGAGTGGGAGTGGGGATATGGCCGTGACAGCGAAGAGACTCATACCAGCACCCACACTCACACCCACACCCACACCCACACCCATCCCCACAAACCCAAACCCATACACATCCACACCTACACCCAGATCCACACGCACCCATACCCACACTCACACCCTCATCCAAGCTCCAAAACAGATATGTTCAAGAATAAACAAGCTATGCAACATATTATACACTATAGGGCGTACAAAACATTATAGACATCGACAATCGTTAAACTCAAAGTTCTCAAAGATCAAATATGCCAAATCTGCTGCTAAAACAAAACTTAGCACAGAAAAAAGAGATGCTTGGAAATGCTCGTGGAAGAGATCGGTAACAGTGTCAAAAAAGAGCGAGATTTATAGTTAGTAATTGAATGCTTCCTGTGTGTGCGTGTGGATGTTTTCTAGATCCACAACCGCACACATATCCATATCTACAGTCACAGTCACACCCACATCCATGCCGTAGTTTCTATAATGGGACTCAACTAATCAAGTTCAGCTTTGTGTACATGCCTATGTTTGTCAGTTTCTTGTGATCTAACAAGGTTACTATCAATCGAGTACTAATATGTATTCATTTAGTGCAAACCATTCATGCCAAGGGTCGTATTATTATACACTGCAGTTCCATCGATGAGCAAAGGTGTAAACATATTGTCAACCGAATAAATGAGACAGGATATTATCTGGAACTCAATGGCAAACTGACAGATTCGGATACTGAGTTGAAGACTCACGCTATCATTTGTTGTTTAAGTAAAAACTACGAAAGTGACTCAAATAAACAAGCTGAACTTCAATACGCTTTCAAGTCTCAGCATCATCTGATTCCTATTCTTATTGAACATGGTTTTGAAGTGGAACAACCATGGCTACGGCACATTCTCGAATCATCAGTAACATCTGTAATCAATTTTTCTGAATCTAACAACACGTTCAATGATGCCTGTAAGGAATTACTTTGCGTATTATCCCAGCTCGAAGATAGTGATGATGATTCGATAAAAAAAGCTTCCAATTATTTGAAAATCTATCAAGTATGTTACAAGCAGGGTTGGAATAATATACCTAAATTACTCTTCTACATTCCTGATATTCTTTTTCACTATGCTATTGATAAACGACAACCAAACAATGTGATAAAAATGATTCATCTAATGTACACACTCAATGATCAACTTAACAGCAACGCCCAAGCACAAATTAATGGTTTTCAACAATGGCTAACAAGTTCAGATCAAACAAATCCGACAAACGACAATATTGAAGATGAAGACACGAATAATCAACCACGATTACTTCATAAATCTCAAGAACATCATACTCAAATGAAATCAGTAGAGGTATAATACTCTCATATTAATTAATTTGTCAGATAGTCGATTATCCTGTTTTCTGAAAGGCCTTGCTAATTTTTGACTAATTCTTTTAGCAAGCAAGTGTGTAGCTAACCATTTTTAATCTTTGACGCTCTGTGTGTGTGTGTGTGAACTCTTTTAGGTCGGATGTCTTCTATTAACAATCGGAAATTTTGACTGATCAATATTTTATAAAGTAATCTTTTTTTTAGAAGAAAAAACATAAACTCTATGATTCAATTCGAATTGAATGAATTCCAAGTGATTCTTCTGAGATATCAGTTAGAACATAGGTGTTTACGTTTTCTGATTTGTCTGTATATTGTAGGCTACCAATAGACATATGACACAATGCGAAGTTACAGAACAAATGAGAGAAGTTGTAAGAAAATTGCATCGTGCCTGTAAACACAATGATATTCAGCATGTCCGTGATATTCTCAAATCGTTTACAATAGACGATTTAAATAAAGCCGAGAAGTACGAAAAAACTACTGGGCTTAACATTGCATCTTATCATGGATATCATGAAATTGTTCGACTACTTCTCGAACATGGTGATTTTATGACAAAACGCAATCAAGATGGCTTCACACCGTTTAGTCAAGCGAAAGACCAAAAAACCAAAGAAATATTTTCTCAGTATCAGCGTGTAGTACCCCGCTTCGCTGGTGATTTGCTCGAATGGACTGTAGCCTATCGAGAACCAGCCATCAAAAGAGCTCAGATTCGTCAGTATCTTGCTCATATTCATTTTATCAGTGGTTCTTTTGCAAGGATTTCGTACCGTTATGTTGGTTGCTATCTAGCACTTGAAGGCTTCTCTACTGAAGAAATTGATCAACTCGAGTCAATAGGATATACTTCTACTGATGGATTTATTTGTGCCTATACAAGTACTGGTCGCTTTCACAAATACATCAATCGTCATTTAGCCACATATGCATTGACCTATTTTGATTCGTCGTTTCACATATCTACTCCCTATAGCTTCATTTATTGTCTTCTCAGTATTGTTGCTATGATTTTAAATGACATTCGTTTGCGGACATCATTTATTGGACATATCTATCGTGGTATGTTGATGACACAAGAAGATCTTTATAAATATGTGGTCGATTCTCGCATTCTCAACACAGCCTTTCTTTCAACATCAAAAAATCGTACCGTAGCCGAGATATTTGCTGGTATTAAAGAATATGAAATATCGTCGACACAAGATTCTACACAGATCAATGTTCTTTGTATATACAGAATTCGAAATCAAAGAACGGCATATGATATTGAACAGCTGTCCAATATTCAGGCCGAAAGTGAAGTTTTAATTTTCCCATTTTCGGCTTTTCATGTCACTCGCGTCCAAAAGACATCATGTAGCAGTGTAGAAATCGACTTGGAAGAGTGTGATGAAGAAAACTGGTCGGATAATAGTGATGCATAAGATGTTTACGACCAGATTTTGACACAGACAATTAATTGAATATTGAAAGAACTACGTAGAAAATCCCTTTTACTAACTCTGATTTTGAGAGAAGAAAAAATTAACAGTTATTATCATTAGGATTCAAAATAGAACAGTGCACATGTAAACTTCAGATTTACCGATATGCGTGTTCGTGGGTGTTGGTATGATTTGGTGAATCGATGTCTATGTGATGGTGTGATTTTTTACTTCTCTCATCGACATACATTAACATTCACACACTTCGTTCTATGTATCTGCGTGTTTCTTTTAGATGTGGCTTCGCAAAAACTAATAATTCATGCTAATATATCGTTTATCGCTAATAGTAGTGATTGATAGTCTCCGCAATGCATTTTTACAAATTTTAGAAACAAATCTTTAAAATTTCTGCCTTCGTGGCAGAGATGTGCACAGGACAGGATGGTCCTGTTGTCCTGTTCTGCCGCTCGCTAGGACAGAGATAGCTAGCAGGATAGGGCAGGACAGGAGAGAAAATCTTGTCATGTGCTCATCTCTGCTTCGGGATTCATTTTGTTCAAGTTTCATTAAAAGTTCGCGGTAAAATGTAAAACAACTAACAATTATTGTAAATCAAAGAGATATAAAAAAGGTGGGGTGGGTTTGGGGGGATGTTGAGTGTGCGGATGTGGGGTGCAGGAGTGTACGGCTCACGCTCATATGAGCACTCATGAATGTGAGCGTTTCTGACTTATCGAAAGCGGTACCGTCCCTGTTCATTTTTTTTCAAATTGTATTCCCCAAAAACCGACACTGCCGATTTTTCTCACGGGGATACCCCTCAGGTATCCCAAAACATTTTTTCTCGTCGTTTTGTTTCAAGTCATTATATTTCGATAGCCCTAAGTGTACTGATTCCAAATATCATATGGCTTTACGAACGTACTGGGATAATAAGAAAAACATGAAGCATTCAATGAACGCCTTCAAAAGCAGTTTTTGACTCAAAAGCTAATTAGATTTCGGTTTATATTCATCCCAAATAGGTCGATTCGATACAGAATTTTTTTCTCTATCAGAACCTGTAAGAATGTATGCTACATTTATTTGTTTACCTACTAATAAATGGTCAAGAGTGTGGGTCTATATGAAGATGAGCCAGGTATCTACACATCCACACCCACCACACACACACCCAAAACATTGACAACTTGTTAGTTTAATATAGTCTAAAAATTCGATTTCCCGATTTTAGTCGATTCCAAGTCAACGATTGGAGCAGAATTTGGTGCATCTCTACCTCATTTAATGTGCGTCAATGTATTTTGTTTTCTATATCTTAGATTCATTCAAAGTATCTTACACAATCAAACTACAAAATTTAGTTTTTTTATTTGATTCTTGTTTTATACAATACATTGTCTACTCATGGTAACTGATCTATTTACTTGACTGAAGTTATGCTACTATTATTTATATTTGAAGGCATATTACCAAAATGTTCTTAGGATTTTAAAAATTTATCCATCGATATTACGGATTGTGCTATATCTTGGCTTAAATGTGATTATTTTAATACTTTCTATCAATAAGACAAAAAATTTTTTATGCATCATGTGTTGATATCAAAAATCAAACGAAAACCATCTAATTTCGTTTGATAATATATCCATTTGACCATAAAGGATTATTTTCTATAAGACGATCAGTCATTCGATCGATTTTATTTAATTTAATAAATAAAAATATATTAACACTAAGAAGGATTAACATTCTATTTTAAAAAAAATAAAATAACAATTTGTTTTCTTTTATTAGAAACAAAAGTATGAAATATTTATTGTTAACACTTACATTATTAAACAAAATGAAATTAACATGTTGTTTGTTGACCATTCTGATGAAGATGAATCATTGGATGGTGAACCTGAAACAAAATGTCGATCTAAATTTAATAATAAGAAAAAAAAAAGTTTGAATGTATTCATTGATCATTTCACTTTAGTTTATATTTTGATTTTAACTCAGACAGAAAACAAAGGACAAGTGGCGGTAAGGCCATTTTCTCGCCCAAAACTTTTCTCAAAAAAAATTATATATTCGGAATCAGCATTAAATTCTGAGTAAAATGAGG